CGGGGTGCGCGCAAAGGTGGCAGTTGTTAGCACGCATATCCGATAACACAATCACAAAGCGAGTAACACTGACAAAAGCTACTCGCTCGAGACACATGGCTGGTCCGGTCTGGGATCTCTGGCTTTACTCGCACCAAAGTATGTCGCCTCCACAACTGCCTCCGGAGGGAAAAGACAGTTTGACACGGAGTGCCCAGCCGGACCGGGGGCGACTGGAGCAGGAGGCGCCTGCTGGGGGCGGAGCGGTGGAGCAGTAGGGGGCCTCTGAAGCAGGGAGGGTGGGGCCGTTTACAAAGATGACCCTCGGCGCTGACCGACGAGATCGAAGACGCGTAACGCTCTTTCGGCAATGAAATGGCAGCAGCGTGAGAGCAAGCCCTAGTCTCTTAGTCTCTTGGTGAGAGGCACCGCCGTCCGTCCTGTCCTGTCGTGTGCTTGCGGGTCACGGACTGCAACATCACATGGCGGGAAGGACTCCGGGCGGGTGAGGCCAATAGGACCCGGCTGCACCTTCCTGCCTGGTCGGGACGGGACAGAGGATATGGTTATCGAGCGAGTAGGAGGACCGCAGACATCGCTTCAAGAAACTGCGTTTTTAACAGTTCTTTATCTCCATCCATAAAGTACGTCCGGTGTCGGAAGGGGAGGGGGGGGGGGGGAATTCCCGAAAACGGACGGTGATGGACGAGAGGGGGGGGGAGTAATTAATAGGTAGTCCAGACGTCCGATTTCAACTCTACAAAACCGAGAAATTAGACGAATATTATGCTGTTTTTGATATTTTCTTCACATTAATTTCTCCCATTGTAACAGTGGACCTGTAATATTGTAATTCCCCTCTCTAAAACATTTTCCTTATCACCACATAAAGAAACTAATATTGTTAATTTTGGGCGGCCAAGGTGAAAATGGATGTCTGTCATGTCACTCCTTTTCAATCTAATTATTTATCAATTTTAGCTGAATATGCAGCCTTTCTTAGAAGGTAGGTTCAACAAGCAGATGAATACAAAACCAGGCAGGTGGAAAAACAAGCATAATTTCTGGATTGCCAGTACATTTTTCCAATAAACCTACTGGAAACTGAATAGTGGACCTATCCCGTGCCCATTAGAAGAACAAAAATTCAAAAAGTGCCATTAAATTCTTTGCTTAATGTGATGAGTCTTTAACACGTTGAGTCCCACGAGACCACAAGTATGGTCACAAAGCACGTGATTAATGACCCCCTGGGACTCAATGTGTTAAGGAAAGTTGACACTTCTTGTTATATTCTTTTAGAACAAACAAACAAACAAAAAAGTTAGCATCCATAAGAAATCTACCTCGCTTGTAGAGAAAATAATGGCACTTCCAGGGTTTTTGTTTCTTTCAAATGTACGAGCCAGGTCCTCTATTATTAAAAATCCGAGCAGACAACACAACAATCTGAAACATACTGTTCCTATCACCACTTGAACTTGATATCTGTGCAAAATTATTATTCTTGACGAGTCCTAGGTTATTATAAGAGAAAAAGATCAATGAACTGCTGTGGATGCATTTGGCATCCAACAAGAAAACAATAATAGCATTTTTTTGTAGGACAGGTATTGATTGAACTGTTTAAATTACGTAAGAACTTGAGGCGGACCACTTTAAGGTTTAGAGATTAATCTCAGGTCTAAAGTGCACAATTGCTAAAAAGGACAAACAATGCTTAGGAAGAATGTTGTAGACAAAATAAAGAAAAACAAAACAACCATCCTCTAATATATAGATAGATTTATGTCTGTATAGATATATTACATCAATTTTTAAAAAACAGAATTGAAAACATTTCATCAATGTCTATTAAAATTTAACACAGGTAAAACAAAAGATACATTAATAAAATTCAAAACCTAGAAAATGCTGAACTTCTTACAGAAATATTAAAAGCAGTAGAAAATAACTACTGTAAGTGGGCAGAACTTTCAGCCATTAGCTTAGACTGGAAAATGGAACAGGAAGAACAAATGCCTTTCAGACGACCCTTTACGACTATGTTGAAGTGAGGAATTTAGGTATAGCCCTAAAAGAAAGGGCTTTTCTGAAGGGGAAAAAAACACACGACAAAATATTTCTCATAATGAAAGTAAGTGATGGATCCTGTTTGCAGAAACTTAAAAGCTTTGAAGGATTCAGTAAAACTTAATTCAAGTATTGTTTCAAAAGACAGTAGAAAGTCAATTTTTAGACTTGTTTCCTGTTAGTTACATGTTGAAATTTTCCTTAAGATACGTAGTAAACAGACATTTCACAATTTATGTTGAGAAGGAAGAGATTTACACTGAATCACATCATAAATAACTAAATATAGTTATGTACACAACACCAAGACATTACATTACACTTGAAACATTTCTGGAAGTTGGAGACTTCTAATTTCAATCAAACAATTGATGAAAGAAGAAAAGTAACATCACAGCCTAGTTTATGTTTTCTGAAAGATTCATTGGCATGAAGGGGTCAAGCACAAAGCGCAATCTCAAAGAGGTTAGTTATGTGGATTTTAAAAATGAAGACTATGCAGACCAACTTACATTAAAACACACAAAATTGAGCCTTCTGCCCCATTGACTGTATCACAGTAAAACATACTGCAAAACTAACAAGGGGTGTTTGAAATAGAGACAAGAACAGAACAGCTCTAAGGCAAAATAACATAGGCCTTTGACAGTTATAATGTATTTGAAGCATCCAAGGTCTAAGAAATTTGTAATGCAAATTCTTCAACACATTGGAACTATCAACCACAGCGTTGGAGACAAAGAGTACAATCTGCAAACTCATTTTAAAGAGTTGTTTGTTTAATTTAACTAAAACTGGCATTTTAACTTCAATTTTTTTTTTTGTAAACCTAATTTTATGATTGGCTTGTCAAACAAGTTAACATTATTCACATTATAAAACAATATTGATAATAAATAAATGTGCAGGCCTTCTGGTTTTTGCTCTTTTTTTTTTATTAAATTATGATGTAAGGCACTTGGAAATCCTTTAATACATGTAAACAGTTGAAACTTTAGGCAAAAGAAGGAAGAGATTTACACTGAATCACATCATAAGAAATGAGTAATTTTTCAAACCAAGCCTTCACATTTTCACAGCTACTAATGTTACACACCGACATCTAAGTCTAAAAGTTATGTATATATTTGTGACATACCTCCTTTAATATCCTCATGACAAATCTAACAGGACACTTTCTGCAACAGGACATACAAGACCAACACACCTAGAAAAATACAAGTTTCAAGCAATGTTGTTGCTTTGTAATTTTTGACATGAGCATCAAACAAGACATGCAAGTTAAGTCAAAGAAGGAAAATTATGATCTTTCAAAATCAGTTTCTTAATGCACCATAAGATGGTAAGAACAAATGTATGAGCAATAAACCAACTACCGTTTTTTAACCAAAATGCAGGAATGCAGGCAGAAAGTTTTGGTGAAGTAAATCAGAGCTCACTTTCATTCAAAATATACAAACTGATCCAATAAAATCATTCACAGACTCAGGCCAAAATTTTAAAGTAACAAAACAATTGTGACATTATGTGGACAACATCTAAATCTCTACAGATTGTTATGTTTTGTTTACATGTGTCTTTTCAAAAATCATATCCATCAGATAAAAAACTAAAAAAAATTACTTCAGTCATGAGAAGTGCCCATAGCCAAAATTTCATGAAAAAGTCTGTGCTTAACTCTCTCTCATTCTGGCTCATTTGGTCTCAAATCCATTGCTCCATCAACTTGGTCCTATAAAGATTTAAAAAAAAACACAAAAAAAACTTATTTTACTATTGTATATTAACATAACAGCACAAATATCAAATGGATTAGAAATGGGTCCTGATGACTTTCCACTGAAATATTCAATCTTACCTCAAAGACGTTATGACTAGAAGCAAGTCTTGTGAATGGGTTGAGCATGTGAGGCACATGTGGAGAAGGATTAGCACCCAAATCACTGAGATGTGAAAGTTGTTGGGTCAATGCCAAAGTACCCCCCTCCGCAACAGTAAGAATAACCCAAATAATATCTGAAAAACAAACCAAACCACATACCAAGTTAAAATAAGGAGAAATTGTTCATTAAATGAAGCAATCTAAAGTGAGAAAGTGAAATGATGTCCAACCTCCAAAGTAGGAGCCAGTAGGGGTCACCATTCTCCATTTGCTTTGGTAAATGCCAGGAGTAGGAGGACTTCTCATTTCAACACTAAGATCAGTAATGGCTCCTGCTTGAACAGGCTGTACAGGTACCCTGTTTAGATTAATTTCAAAAATTAAAACTCAGTGATCATGAAAATAAGTACAAACTGTAACATGAAATGAGTTTTGAACATCATACCTCTCAGCTTCACAAAGCTGTACACCACCGGTAAATTGCAGACAACAGCCATGCGGCCATTCTTCATCCCCATTATTTTGAACCCTCCATGTTTTAGTAAACCTGAAAGTGAGTGCAAAAATTTGTTAATACTAAACTAACAGTTAAACAACAATCCTTCAGAAATTTTTGAAACACAAGGGTATCAAAGCATCGAAACAGATTTCCCACAATGATATACTTACTGAGTATCAGGTGGCACACTTTCACCTTCACCTATTGTAACATCTTTCACAAGAACCATTGAAAAGGTAGGGGCTTGGCAATCAAAATAAGAGCAAATTGCAGCTTGTAGATTCCTGAAAAAAATATTAGATCACTGAATCTCTCACTCATAATGAAATTATTAATGTCAAATTACATTACATAAGCATATAGAATAACTAGCAAGAGAGCTTATAATGTTAATGAATCATCTACGAGGACTTGAGAAATACACAGAAGTTACATTGACTAATATGCCTGTTAAAATGGAGATAGTCGAACAGCAACTGAAATGTATACATGTCATGGTCAGATCAAGGTACCCAGCTAAACCTAGGATTACAGTCAAAACTCGTTAGTACGACCCCCAGATTCCCAGATACAATGATTTCCCGTTATAACGATTTTTTCCGCCGTCCCATGACATTAGTTTGCTTGTTAATGCTATCGGATACAACGATTTCCCCGTTATAACGTTTTTGGGCCGCGGTCCCAGTGGGGTCGAACTAACAGAAATTGACTGTAGCTTGCTAAAGATAGGATTGACAAGACCAATTTGGTAATCCTAGTCACTGTAACTACTCGCTGTTCCTAAGTTCAGTCACTTAGGTATAGCTGGCACTTTGGTTAAATGAAGAAATACCAGCTAAACATAAGTTCAGCCGACAGTCTAGACCATAACATACATACACTAAGTGTGTACTATTGTGTCTTTTAACAACTATGCATTGGATATTTCAACACATTCAAACAGAGTTGTAGACGATACAACTTAATTCTGTTGTGAAAGTCTGATACGAGAAACAAGTCAGTCCCCTATGTAAATTGATTATATCATCTACTCTTCATTGCAAAAACTGCTGTTTAGAAATGATAAGCAGACATTTAATGCAGTTTTTATAGCTAACAAGCTGAAGTGGGAGAACAATAGAATGCAATGGTGCAGAGGTCCCTTAAAGAGATGATTAATAAGGTAATAAGGTAGTCAGGGTAGGATAGAGGATCCCAACCTGAAAATGACACAGCAGAGACAAAGGTTTACGACAATAATAAACATATGCCAACGTACCAATTGTTCATATCAAGGAAAAATGCAGCAGTGGATGAGTTCAAATGATGTCCCACAAGTTTTTGCAATTGCCTTACTAGGTCATCTTTGTCTGTAGTCCCCATACAGCTGAACTGCTGCAGCAAAGTCTGGTCTATATCGTTGTCAACCTCCATGTTTCACAAATTCATTCACGAGCCAGAAAAGATTAGAGATCAGCGTTGCATGGAAAACACGAACAAGTTCCAACAAGTCTGCACCATGTACGGGGATTTAGAACAAATCTTGCATTTTCACTACAATAATTTCCAACGTTGTTTTGTTACTGTCAGATGTTCTCACAGGTCGGGACGGGAGCAGGGTTGCCAAGAGATTAGTGAGTGAGCTTGGGCCCGAACCGAGCCGAGCGCCGAGCCGAGTGCGCGCGGGCCCGATTTCACCCGGGATTTTTCAAAATCACTCGCCAGTCGCGTGGGATTTTCGTGGAATTCTGGCTTGTCTGAAGGTGTCTGGTCACAAATTATTTGCATTGAGTTTTTAAATTACAATAAGATCGTGTCCTACATCGGATTTTCACACATTTACCTCCAAAACAGGCAAAATAGGCCAAAAACCATCAAAAATCACCCGTATACTTGGAAATCACCCATGTAGCCCGGTAAATCATCCGGGACGCACTTGGATCTTTACAGTGCGCCTGATAATAATTTCAATAATTACCCGACGGGCGCACGGGCGCAAAATCATGCGGTCTGGCAACCCTGTCGGGAAGGAAACTCCCGTTCAACCGCCCCCCCCCTCCCCCCACTTCATTCCCGAGTTCTCGCTTAGTCATTTGATGATAACCAATCACAGAAGGTAGCATCCATGAGGGCGATCGGAGAGCTCCCTGAGAACGCTCCACTTCCGTTCTCCCACTACCCCCCTCACCCTGTTTCAGTCGATTTAGAAGGCGCTTCCGATTGTTTTCGGGGAGCTCTCCGATCGCCCTCCATGCTCTCCGCACGACGTCGAGCCTCACATCTCTGGTATGATTCGCCCTCTCACGGCCATTCTGCTGAGTTACGAATGAACGCCCCGAAGGTAGGCAGCCCATTCGACGCTTAAGAGGTTTTAGATAGGTTCAGATCGTTGAAGTCCGCGGTACGAATACTCAGTATCAGTTCCCCTACTATAGTCATTTCGCTTTCCCCCAGCAGCCGTGCATTAAAATGCAGCAAAATAACATGGTCAATTACGCAACAGCAGGCAACGTAAATCACAAGTGGATTAGTTAGTGGTGGTATATTAAAAGATCTCAAAGTTTAGTCAACGGGAGAACTAAGCATGTTTAGCAGGATTCTGTGATCCGTTGATAGCCAAATTTATTCAGGGTAGAGGGTTTTGCCCAAAGGGCAATGAGGTAAAGCTTGTAATTGTCTTTTGATAACAGGAGTAATATATGAAATTTATTTCATATTAAAAATCATTGAATTTATAAAAGCCCATGCAACTTACACACTTCAGGTATGCTGGTTTATAGTCTCAAAGTATCATATGACAAATACTGAAATTAAATGATAAAAAATAAAATTCTATAATAGTGTTACTGCGCCAGCAAGGTATGTTCAAAATTGATAAAAAGGTACTTAACTGTACAAAAAATCAGGACTGTTATATCTCTTTGAGCAAAGTCATCTGTAACACTTTTTATCTTGCCAAATCTGACATAAAAGAAGAAACACTTATGCTATGCTTTTCAGACGTTTTACATAAGCGGCACAAAATCAGCACAGTATCGCAAAACACTGGGTAAACAATTACCTAATCCAAGAGATTCATACCCACGTAAACAATTGTTTTCATTCATCATTAGTAACTAATTTCATTTGCACAACAAAATTCTCTACCAACAAAATTGAACAAATATTTTTAACAGCAAAAGCTCAGTAATAATTATACGCTCATTGCTCTGATTCAATTTTCATTACTCTGGTCCTGTTGGGATATGAAGCAATTCCCTACAACAATAACAAAACAGCATGTTTCATCAACATCCAATTGTGAACATGGTCATCAATAAAATCTTCCTAAAATGCCCAAACATCCAAGTTTCATGGCAAAACCCCCAAAACTACATAGAGCTTTCATTAAAAATCACAGATTATTCATTCAGTAACTTCTACTCACAAGCAGCTAGTGCGATTTCAATAAATAACTGGTGCTTAACAAAAAATTACTGCATTTGTGGTATAGCACACAGAATTAAAACATAACAAAAGATAAGTTAAAATTAGTTAGAAACATCGAGTATTATTTAAGATCTAGAACCCCTTTGAGGAACTTTGAAAGATGATATGCATAGTAAAAACTATGTTTGGACAGAAAAATTAAACTTAAAAGTAGGTAAAGACTAAGCTCAATTTGTAGAAACTCACTGTAAGAACTTACCAACACAAACAAAAATTAATTTTACATGAGGTTCAGAGTCAGAAAAAGATTATTTAGAAAAGTGAAAGTCACAGGGCTACAATAACTTCAATATACTCAAATAACGAGTAAAATCAAAAAGCAAGTTTGAAATATAATCGTAAATACATAAATTACTAAGCCACTGTTCACATCAGAGCAAAAAAAAGTTCTTTACAGCATCATAAATTATACTTATAAATTAGATGTTATGAAATTAGATGAGGAATGACCTATAATGACATTAACTTATACTATAAATGGTAATATTTGCATCATATAACATTTGGTCCAATATAAAATTTAAGGGTGCACCCACAATATACTTAATACAGTAGCAATGTGCATTCAATTTATGATATAACCGAATCAAATGTTAAAAACATAGTTTTTTAAACAATTTTTAAAATGTTTTGCTTTTACTATTATTCAGAACTGGGGGTAAAACAATCACAGCCAAAACACTGCCAATTGTGGCAAAGGCACCTACAATGACTATCACTTCACTTAAATAGCAGATCTCTACCATTATAAAATTTGACCAAGTAAAAAATGGTAGAGTGGCACATAAAAGCTGAAAATATTGCCTATGGGCCTTGACTGCTATTCAATATGGCCAAGTCACATATTGCCCATGTTTTTTGTACTAGCAGGTGTTGCTAACAGAAATAATCATCCTACTGAAAAATAAGAAATATTTCCTTTATCATGCCCTAGATATAGAATATTTTCTAAAGTCACAACCAATTACAACTTAAACGAAAAAAAAATATCATAATACCTAGGCAGTCAAGTTTTAAGTATTGCCCATGATAGTTGGCTGATTTCAAACAAGAAGATAAAAAGATACCTAAACTGAGGGGAAATAATGAGCAGTTCACAAATTTCGCTCCTACAGTGCGGACATGTATGACAGTCCATCATGTTGATATGAAGCAAATATTTAACTCAAATATTTGAAGGCAGTGAGGAGACTAAAGCTTGCTGGCTGCATTAGTCCAGGATGATTAATCAATTGGTACAGCCCATGGGTGCTCAACTCGTCCATACTGAATAGAGGTCAAAGCCCTCTCCAACCTTCGGTAAAGTGGATTTTCTTGACTTCCCGTTGGAATTTTAATAGTCATATCCTTGTAGTGAATTGAAGCCACAGGGCTAACAATGCATGCGGTGCCAGCACCAAACATCTCCACAAGCTGTCAGTACACAGAACAACAAACAATTTATAAATATCCATATCAAAATCAGCATCCAAAAGAGGCAATAAATTTATACTTACTCTATTTTCGTTCATTGAATGAATCATTTCACCCATGGTTATCTTACGTTCTGACACTTTAAACTCATTCCATCCTCGAGTTAACTCCAAGATAGACATGCGAGTTACGCCTGGTAGAATTAAACCATCAAGGTTTGGCGTAACAAGTTCAAGTTCTGCAAGTAAAATTAAGATTAGATTTAATGCTATCTTTGTGAATTTCTAGATTTAAAGATGTATATATATTTTAAGAGATCCAACCTCCTTCATCATTTATTAGAAGTACAAAAATGTTCATGGTGCCAACTTCTGTGAGTTGCTCCTCTGGTCCATACAGCCACAAGACTTGTTGATAGCCTCGAAGATTAGCTTCATGCTATTAAATATAGTTTTTAAATGAAAAGACAGTCATAATTTAGGGAGCAAAGGTCCAAAACTAAAGCAAAATTCTACCTGAACATGAATGGTTGGGGCATAATTAGAACCCATTTTTCTGTCACCACATCCTCCAGGGAATGCCCTTGTGTATTGAGGATCAGCCATCAATGAAACTGGTTGGAATCCGGAGGAAAAGTAAGCTCCCACAGGCGACAGAATAGCGTAAAGGAGAGCAGATTCTAGGCAAGCAACACCCAAGGATGGCTGGAAAAATTAGAAAAAGAAATGAGTCAGCATTATTAGATTTTAATAAAAGAAGCTGCCTGGACTATGGGACTAACTATCTGGCAGAGACAAATTCATAAGGCTCTACTTCTCCAATCAAATTGTGCTGAACCGTACATGATAAGAGAGGAATCTGAAAAGACACACCCTCTTTAGACAACAAAGCGAAAGAGCTTATCAGTTATTTTCTCTTCATGTGATAAGTTTCTGAGTTCTTTTAACATGGAAGAGGGACATAATTACTTCTTTTATGTTAATGGAGGTGAGATTAGCTTAAATTTAGGCAAGTTTTCTTGAAAATAACATCTGCCCTAATTTAGAATGTATCAACAAAGTTTTGTCAGTTAAATAAAAATATAGTTTCCTATCATTTTACTGCAATTGAATTATATGATTACGATAGATAGAAATATGTACAAATAAAAACCTACAGTAGTTAGACTTGAAATACAACAATGATTCAGAAAGCTCCTACTAGTTTAAATTTGTCAGAGTCACCCAATGCCCTTACATATTCATGAGATAACCACAAAGGGACTTCTTTCTTCCATCAACTCCCACACATGCCAGAAAGAGGACAGAGGGTAGAGTAAAGGGGAATGAGTAGAAGAGGAAGCAAAGAAAGAGGGATCAAGCAAAAGATAGAGAAACAAGGAAAAAAGGAAAGAAAAAGAAGCATGGTGAGAAGAAACTGGCCATTCAACTATTGTAAAGTACGAAAACAAGGAGGGTTTTTACAGCATGAAATGAGTTTAGTTGGTATGCAAAGAGAAGAAATACAATAGATTTTTTTGGTTATTTTAGTATTACACAAATAAGGATGAACATTATCATGGTTAAAGTTCAAGACAAAACTTACATCAATTCCAATTAAAGTTGGACGGATGTAGAGACTTGATGATTCTGAGTGTGGAACCCATTCTTGATCAATGCTAACAAGACGACTTAAGCATTTAATTAGTTCTTCGCCACTAAAGGTAGGCAATCCTGAACGTACTGCAGATCGGTTCATCCGTTCCATATTCTTTTCAGGTCTAAATAAACGTATCCTGCCATCAACACCACGGTATGCTTTCATCCCTTCAAACAGCTAAATAAACAGACACAATTCATGAAAATGAGTAACTTCAAATCAAAAGAAATGTAATGATGTGATAAAATGATCTCTTGCTACCTCTACAGCATAGTGTAAAACTTTGGCAGCTGGGTGCAGGACAAGGTTCTCAAATGGTGTAATAACTGGTTTTTGCCAGCCTCCTAGGCGCTGGTGATATTCAATCTTTAACATATGGTCAGTAAATAATTTTCCAAATTGAAGCCCTGCAGCATCAGGTTTTGGCTGCAGTTGGTGAGGCTCAGCCAAACGTACTGTGGTATCCGAATACTGCATAAAAAGGACAAAAAAAATGGGTAAAAATAAAAGCAAAAAAAAATATAAAAAAGTAAAATGTAAAGAAAATAAATGGAAAGAAAAGATAAGCAAGCAGCAACTAAGGTTAAAGAATAGAAAATGTAAAATAGGACTCTTCTGCAAGAATCTTGAATCATCCAGCTGAATAAAGACAAATTGAAAGTTTAAGATTAATCATAATGCTTATTTCTTTCAAAAGAAAACACAGCACAATACCCTAAGGAGATAAAAAAAGACCTCTTTATCATTTATCAGCTTTGAGAGCAAAGAAGCAATTGTGTTGCAATGCTATTTGTTAGGAAATACCATGTGACAACAGTCTGTGACATCATCAGATTATGAATTGTGCCAGTAAACAAAAAATTAGACATGAGACTATAATATTTTTGAAAGACTTCACCAATACAAAGTTCGTTTTAATTACGATTTTCTGTTTATCTTACCTTGAATGTGTGCATGGGCTGAAGGTTCTCTTGAGCATTTGCACAAGCAGACAAGGATGCTGCAGTGGCAGTTGCAGCTGCTACAGACTGCCATTTTTTCTCTTCTGAATGGACACAACGTAGTTGAGTTCCAAACTGTAATTAATAGAGCAATAAGTTAAAACTTTAGAGACAAAACTGAAAAATGTGTGGCACATGTTCCAGTTTACAAGGGGCTATAATTTCTACATATGATAGCAAGAACTATCGGCGTTAACTCCCTATTTGTCCTACTGACACTGTTATGTATTTTTTTTTTTTAAGTGCTGTGGTAACTTTCAGGAATCTCTCTGTTCTCTGATCACCCTGTGAGTATCTCAATACCTACAGGAATTTCTACTTCAGAGTCTACAAGTCTACATATTAGTCATTATCTGCTGAAGCAATCTACTGATAAAAAGAATGTCAGTAAGGAATTTCTATATTTAAAGAAATTATTGAGATGATCGATTGATTAGAGAACTGACAATTTTCCTAAAACAATTAAAGCAATAAAACACAAAATGATGTGTACCTCATAGAATTAGGAAATTGCACACAAGAAAATTTGCAAATGGGAGAAAAAAGTTAAACAATTTCTTTAAAAGTGAAATTAATATCTTTTAAGAGAGAGAGAGCGAGAGAGAGCAGTTCTCAGTTGTTTTCGGTCTCCTCAAAAGTCAGCCGGTGAGAGCAATCATCTTTTAAAGTTACACAGGAGCAGTGCTGTCAGGACTGTACATACAGTACAGTGAAAAAATAAATCTAGAGCGGCATTTAGACTTGTGAGGCCATCCACTTCAAAGAAGCACTTCATTGCAACAGTTGTTTGTGAAAAACTTCCGTTTAGCTAAACTATGTATACATTACTTTTTCTTTAAACGGAAAGTTGTGTCGCTTCAAGCTCCTAGGATATAATAAATCCACAAAAAATATATATCCACTGGTTAAGCAGGGGTGCCAGTAAAGACACATGACTAGCGGAGGTTAGAATTAGATCATCACTAGGCAGTTCTAAACGGGCGGCAGAATAAAGAATAGCACCACGGAAACGCGTCTCATACATTACAAACGAGGAAATACATAAGTAGGGCCTCACCTTAGGTCGCAAAACCAGTTGACGCAATCCCGATCGAACCATGTCGAGCAGCAAACATGTGTTGTTGTCTCCAGAACGAGGTGGTCTCCGACACCACTAAGCACAATTTCACAAAGCGCAACTTTTAAATCCTCATGTTGCCCCACAGAAAAAAAATAGAGGGTGGTTGTAGGAAACGATTCTGCTCCAAACAAATGTGCACGAGAGTATGACGATGTACAACAACGAACAATCGCGAAGAAACTGAGTCGGCCGGTCGAGACTCCGCTTGTCGCCGGTGTTTATGTTGTGTTGAGACGGGTGTGTTCGGAAAGCAACTGACTCTCGCCCGCGGCTCAGGGTTCGGCTGGTTCGGCTCGGCGGGATCCTCAAGATTACGCGCGGCAGGGTCGAGCGAAGGAGGGGGGGGGGGGCATGCGCCCGGGAAAGGCAGAGTTTTGTGCCTCTAGTTTAAATTCAGGGGCAGAGTGATAAAAAGAGGACGAAAAGAGTTTGTTCGTGTGCGGGCGGGTGTTTCGGGATTAATGACGGGCACCAATCACAAACCTGATTTGCTAAAACGCCGTTCGAAACGGGTTGTTTTGCGAACCTGGCGAGCATGACGGAAGGGGAGGGGGAGACATTAAAACGACGCGAAAAAGTGCGAATCCTGCCGAGTGATAGATATGGCAGCGAGGGGATTCGAAACTTGGCGCTCGCGGGGAGCGGGGAATGGCGAATAGCCCGCGAGTCCGTCCGTGGGCGGGTTGCACGGTGCAGTACCGACTGACGTACTTTGATTGACGTGTGCCTAATGTATGGAGGAGGAGAAAGGAAGGGGAGTTGTACGTGCGCGTCTGTTGGGCGTGTTTGCTCGATCCCCGACTGCGGGGGAGGGGGAGGGGTGGCACTAACGTAACGTTGCATTCGACTTTGGAAAATTTGGAAGCCGACACGGCGGATGGGTCAAAGTGCAAGAAGCAGGTGCAAACGAATGCGCGTGGGGGATGGGGGGGGGGGCATGGTCATTCCCTTGGACCACTCTCATCTGTGTGTGATGATGGGGTGTATCTCCGCCCGAGAGTCGGCAGAAAGGATATGATTATTTTTGGGGGGGTCGATTTGTTCGGTCCCACAAGAAAAATTGAACTTTTTCAGCACGTGGCCCCTCCCGCCTTCCCCGCCGACAAGCAACAAGCAGCTCTATGGGATGCCAAAATCGAACAGACCATCACCGCCGAATGCTGTAACTTCTGCGTCGGATTACACCGCCCGCCCCGCCGCGTTGGTGTCTCCCCATCTCTCTCTGTCTCTGTCTGTCTCAGTGTCTCTCTCTCTCTCTCTCCCTCTCTCTCCCGGTTCGTCATCATATTCTTGTTTTGATTGCGCCCCACGCCCTGCTGACCCCCTCGTAGAGCCATTGCCAAGGCTCAGCGCCGAGTCTCCCTATAGCGCGCGGCCCAGGGCGGGAGTGATGCCCACCACTGCTGAGCCTGCTGAGCCTCTGCCGATATATCGGCAGAGATGCACTGCCAAAAAGTCACCCGTATATTATATTTTTGCGGAGAGACGTACACGGAACGCCCCGTTTCATTTGGTGACGAAGCCGTCCGGAATGCTGCTGGAAAAAAACTGAAATTGACGTGACAACGGACGTCGTGTCCGCAACTTTCCTGAAGGGCAGGCCGTTCGCCCACAATTACTACCCGACGACGCAACACTCAGATGTCGTCTCAAAGTGCCCATAGCGACCATAGCGACGAGCACTTGCAAGTATTTAACGCGGTGTCGCACACACTGTAAGTCTGGGGTTGCGTGGTGCTAAGTAGGTGGGCGACTTAAGTCGCCTGACCCAGTAATTTAGGCACGCTCTGCGGGTCCCCCTCCCCCTTTTTCTCCCCAATCCAGTGTCAGTCCGAGTTCACGTGCACGGCGGCGAAAACGCTTTGCCACGCACAGCCGGCGACGGTTCATTGCATCCCGAGGGCCCCTCGTTTTGACCATCATTTTCAGGTGAATGACTCGGTTTTACCATTGCGAAGCACCCATCGGCCTCCCGCGGCGCCAGCTCCCGCTCCCGCTCCCGCGTGTCGCCGAGCGAGACGCGCGTCATCCCACCGCAGCAGCACCTCTCCGTCAGCTTCACGCACTATCAACCGAAAATCACGCCCAAGTTATGTAATTATGAGATAACGACTCGAGTGAAGAAAAGGGCAACGGCAAGAAGAGAAAGGGGTGGCGGGGCCGGGGCGGGGCAATGTGTCGGTTGGACGATGGACAAAGTAGTGGGATGGTGACGTCAGTGCTCGAAATCGATTGCTAATGATCACGTTCTCACAGAACGCTAGTTCCGAAAGAATGCTTGGCCGCCGTTCTGGTGGGTCTTGGACCTTCAAGCCGACTGTGTGTGTGGCTCAGCACACACGCAGACTACCGAACTCTCAATACACACACCCTGACGCACACGTAACTGGGCACAAACTCGTACTGCACTGTAGTATATTTGCACATTAGTGTTGCCAGGGAAACTAATAATACATTGTAGTATTGTCAGGGAACTTTTTACAAATGACATCCTAAACTGAAAAACTAATTTGGGTTTCTAGCTAGTGTTTTCTACCCTCGAAATTATGTTAAATTATGGATCCCTAATTTGAAATTCGACGACAGTCAAAAGCCTGTGACCTTGGGCCGCGTTCTTCTCAGATAAACAAATTTGCAAGCGGTTCATTAAGCCAACACATCATCGAGCAGTTGACAGCCCCCACGCGCAACCGACGAGCGGTACTCGGCAAAAAAAGAAATTCGGCACAACAACGAAATAAATTATTTGTTTTAAGTGAAACAAAATCAGTTTTTGAAATAACATTTGAGTTTGTGGTGAAAAATTCCTGTCCTCCGTTTACACAGTAAAGTTCTTCCAAAATTTGTGTTTAGCCCGCCATTCTGCTCTGTGTGCATGAGTGCATAATAAGTAGATTTGTATCTTTTACTTGTGCAAAGTTTGACAGCAAAAATTTTTGCACAAGTTTATCTGTGTTAATTTGAACAAACAATGGTCTGCATTCATACCAGGTGGCTGATAAACCCCGCACACTTCTGTAGCTATGCTGTACCGCATTCCTACGTGCGGGCGGGTTGCCTACTCGCTCGACACTCTATAATCTTTTACGTTCCAAAGCTTCAAGTCCCGAAGGACAAAATTCTCTAAAGTTTTTGCTATGACACGCGGAGCACCTTGCCCGTCGGCTCGCTGGACCGACCCCCGAGCCAGTCCACTAAATTGTACCACGTGAAAACAAAGTCGATTGTTTAAGACAATCTATTTCTTCCGTTCCAGCCAATTAATTATATAGTTCGTCTTCTCAGAAAGCGCATGATGCCTCATTAACGACATGCCGTAGCAACCAGCCAGAGATTGATACACTTCTTATCGCGGAGCTTGATTGCAGCAATTGGCTTCTGGTAGGGCGCAGGCCAACAGTAGTGTGCCCAATGTATTAAATTGTATACACGGGGTGAGAGGTGAATAATACCAACTATTTTGTCCGCAAAAAGATAAGAACAGCCCGTGGACAGTCAGTTTACCAAAACTCGGCGTTTTGAGAGATGCATTTACGAAAATCATTTAAAATGAGCGTCCTGCCGAAATATAAATCGCAGCCCTGTCATATGTAGGCTCGTTTGAAGGAGAATTTCAGGACGAAGGACGAAGAAGATGGCGTCCTCGTAAAATATTTTCGTTCATGAGTAGAAAATTGCGGTTTGAAATCACCCAGTATTGCAGTTAAAACTGACATCTTGTGGCACACTTTGATTTCCAGGCTATTTGAGCCATATTCACTGGATTCTCACTCCATGAGGGGGTGTGATTTTTTGACCTCGCCCAGTTGTGGTGAAGAACCTTAATCACATAGGGCGCGAACCGAAAATTATCACTCAGGGTGAGAAAAAGGAATCTCGCTCTCAGCAGGGGTCACTGATCTCGCTCTCCTGAGAACAGGATATTTGACTCGAGTATTTACGATGGCCTCCTGTGCGGTACATGGTGCCCATATAGGCCTACAGGCCGCAATCCGCCGCACAGACAGGTCAAAACTATAAATGGTACATACACAGCAACACTGTATATTTCGCGGCATTTCGTCTCCATATCTCCCACGACCTTCTAAATGAAACAAATGACATTGTCCAACATGATAGGGAATATCGCATACAGTACGTGCTGCTGGCGATGGCGGGCTTATTAGGAAATACAGAGGAGATAAACAGGAACAAAGAGAGAACGGAGAAAATGAAGGGCGCACGGTTCTGGATCTGCGATGACGCGATCAAGGACAACCTATGAGAGTCGCAAACAGTGGGCGGAGGAATTAAACCAGAAAATACTCCCACAAGAAAGATCCGAGGCTGGCTTCCGATTTATCTCGGCGGCAGGAGGTCGTCACCACAACATCGAATACAAACAACAATTGCAGCTCTGACATGGAGAAAACGAGAAAACAAAAGATAACGTCGGCTCTGCTCCCTTACCGGGTCAGAGAGGAACGATAGAGCAGGGCGCCCTGACCTCTCCAGGCCCGATGCCATGAGGTGGCACGGA